ATACATACAGACACGCACAGACAGGCTGACATGACAGACACGCACAGACACATACAGACCGACGAATAACGGTTGCGAAGAGATAAAAAGCGAGACAAACCGACGTACCGACTGTCAGGTACAGGCCTTACAATATAAAAAAAAGCACAATGTCTTTAAAACCAAAACTTGTGGGCACTTACTTTTTTTGTTCATTTGTTTCATATTTCCATTTTGTCTACTTTTATTTTTTAGACTTTGTAACATATCAACAGCCAGATTTTAAACCGAGCCGTGTGCTTCTGGAGAAAAGCCAGAGCTTGTCAAATTGGAAAAAAAGCCAAGCCTGTTTTTGCCTTTGGCGTAAATGTTACTACTTTTAATCGAATGAGTAGATGTCCACAGACAGAAAGACACAGACAAACAGACAGATACATACATACACGCACAGAGACATACAGACCGACGAATAACGGTTGCGAAGAGATAAAAAGCGGGACAAACCGACGGACCGACGGACCGACGACTGTCAGTGAGGAGGACGAATGTCGCGGCTTCGGAGAAGAGGTGAATGCGGTTGACAGTGAACGGTGATGGTACGTGAAGAGGTCGCCAATTGGTTTGGACGGACTGGATGGCTTGCAGGTGACGAGACTGGGCCAGAAAAGAGGAGGCCAGTCGCGGCGGTTGTTTGCTCACTTGCAGGCCCGACAGGCCATTTCGGTTGGGCTCGTCCGGTCTGACCTTTCGTGATTTTGTATCAAATTGTCCACTTGAAGGTGCTGCCGTCTCGGGCCGGGACCGGGACCGGGACCGGGAACAATGCTCTCGGCCAGAGGGTGGCCTGCAGCTGGTCAGAGGAAAAGCTCGTCCGTCCGAGCTCAGTTGAGGCCACAGGGGGCGTCTCGGAGGCCGTCGGAGTCCCGACTGACCTCTGACCCCGACCGGACGAAGAGGCAAGCATGTGCACGGAGAATGACCGATTGGGACGAATTGGCCTGTAGACATTAGTGCTGACCGAATTCACTCTAAAACAACAAGTGGTCGACATGCTCAACGTTCTCATCATCATCATCATCATCATCCCCCTCACCACCAGCATTAAAAGTAGCATTTATTAGGTTGCATCCGAACAATGAAGCGGCACAAATAATGACTTGAATGAGGCTTTGAGAGAGGGCGCATGTGGGGTTGAGGCTCCGATGAGGCGGATGTGAACTCTTGACTACTTTGCAGCAAATTAGGGAAGAAGAGAGCTGCACCGGACAAGGGAACTCGGGGGCAAGTCAGCTATTCGCCGCCCCTTCACAGTGCCAACCCCGACAAGGTCCAGCAGCTTGACCCGCCTCCGAGACCGAAGTGACGGTCGAGTTTGGTTTCTGAAATGACCGAGACGGCGTTTCTACTCTTGCCCCCAGCTTTGCTACTTTTCATTCACTTTTCTCTTCTCTTTCTTCTCCTTCTTCTCCTTCTTCTCCTTCTTCTCCTTCTTCTCCTTCTTCTCCTTCTTCTC